GCTCCATGTTTCCATGCCTGTGGTTTATTTTGTTTGTTAGTTTATTTTGTTGGATAGATTTCACTTATAGGTGAGATCATATGGTATTTGTTTTTTACTGACTGGCTTATTTCACTTAGCATAATAATCTCCAGTTCCATCCCTGTTGTTGCAAAAGGTAGGAGTTCCTTCTTTCTTTCTTTTTTTTTTTTTAATGCTGATTGACCTTATTTATTTTTAAATGTCAAAATCCATTATAAAATATTTTAAAAATTTAAGTTCATTGTAAAGTCTCAGCAGTTAAAATAACATGACACCAGCATAGAAATAATCAAGTAGATCAATGAAATAAAATGAGAATTCCAGAAACAAATGTACATATCTGTCTAACAAGGTAATATATGATTAAACTGATATGTCAAATCAATGGGGAAAATAAGGCTTATTCAACAAATAAGGTGCATGGGCCACTATTAATTGAAATAAAATAAATATAGAGCCCTGTTTCACACTTTATACAAAAAATATTCAGATGAGATAAAAATCAATATGTAAAATCTAAGGAGTGTTAGGAGAAAATATAAAATAATATTTTTCTTACTCTGAGGTAAAATATTCAAACCTGGAAGCTATAAAGTAGAATATTGTCAATATGACTATATTAAACATTTAAGACTATACAGTAATATACATATGAAAGAAGTTAAAGGACATTAATAGAATAGGAAAGTATTTGCAACACATCTAAAAAAGGGTTAATTTTTATTTTAAAGGAGACAATCCTACATTTAATAAAAAAATGGATAAAGAATACCAAAAAGTCAATTAAAGCTTTTTTAAAATAATAGAAATGGGCAAGTAATATACAAAAACAGGTTTAGTTTCAACAAATAATAAAGTAACAATTAAAATAACATCATTGTCACAATCAGAATAATAAGTATTAAAAATATTGGTAATATCAAGTATTGGTGACTGTGAAAGGAACTGGGTATTCATAGACTCTCTTCCTTCATCTTCTTAAAGCAGTTCCTTTAGCATATTTTGCAATTGCTGGCTTGGTGGAGGTGTATTCTTTTAGCCTTCTTTTGTCTGGGAAACTCCTTATTTCACCTTCCATTTTAATGAAGAGCCTTGCTGGGCAGAGCAGTGTAAGTTGAAGGCCTATGCTTTTCATTACTTGGAAGATTTCTTGTCATTCCCTTCTGGCTTACAGTGTTTCTGTTGAGAAGTCAGCTGCTAGCCATACTGGGGCTCTCTTATGTTACTACCTCTTTCTCCCTTGCTTCCTTTAGGATTCTCTGTTTGTCTTTCATATTTGCCATTTTAATGATGATGTGTCTTGGAGTGGGCCTCATTGGGTTCCTCTTGAATGGGACCCTCTGTGCTTCCTGGACTTGTGTGACTTTCATCAAATTAGGGAAGTTTTCCATCGTTATTTTTTCAAACAGGTTCTCTCTCCCTTGCTCCTCCTCTTTTCCTTCTGGCATCCCTGTTATACAGATATTATTACGTTTCAGGTTGTCCTGCATTTCCCTAAACGCCTCTTCATTCTTTTTGAGTCTTTTTTCATTTTCTTGCTCTTTCCGGGAGATTTTTTCTACCTTATCCTCCAGCTCACTGATTCGTTCCTCTGCTTCATCTAGCCTGCTTCTGATTCCTTCTACTGTGTTCTTCAATTCAGAAATTGTATTCTTCATTTCCTCTTGTGTCTTGATAGTTTGTGTCCTTTTCATGCTGATATAGTTTGCAGTAAGTTCCTTGTAGCCTCCCTGTAGTTTTTTGTAATTCTCTCTGAGCTCACTGAGCTCATTGAGCTTCCTTAGAACTGTTGTTTTGAACTCAATATCTGTTAGTTTACTTGCCTCTATTTCATTTAGTTCTCTTTCTGGGGATTCCTCCTTTCCCTTTGAGTAGGGGGTATTTCTTTGTCTTTCCATTATTTGTGAGACTCTTCTTTTTTACTTCCGCTTCTTAAGTTCATCTGTCTTGATTTCCTGACTTTGTGATGTGAACTTCTATGGTAGAAGACCGTGTTTTTTTTCTTTCTGGATCTGCCTCTGATGATGTCATATGTGGACCCTGTCTGACCTTAGACAGTCTGTTCAAGATCTCCAGGAATCTACTGCCTGTGGCTGTCTCTTTCAGCTGTTAATCTAGTCACTCTGCACTCAGCAAGTCAATTTAGACACCACAGGGCGGGGCAGAGTCCCTCCTGAGGGTGGGGTTATTGGGTCCTCTCATGTTGCTGCCACTCAAGGGAGTGGTCTGCCTGAGCAGGATGGCTGCTGACGTATGGGGGATAAGTCAGTACCTGAATCCCGCTGGCTACTCTCTCAGTTCTCTTCCCAAAGCCTCCTTCCCCAGTGTCTTCTCAGGCATCTCTTGCCCACTCTGCCCCTGCTATTGCTGGAGACCAGGGTAAATGCCTGCAAATAAAAATTTATGCATTGGCTCTTTAAATGGCGCTTTGCATCTTCAGCTGCCTGTGTCTGGCAGAGAGCAACCCTGCAGCTTTTCACAGCTAGCTGTTATCTGTGTACTTTTTGGGCTCTGGTGCTGTAGGCTGGAGATCCCTGCTGTTGCTTTAGACCTTGCTCTTCTTAGGGGGAAACAATTGACTGTTTCAATATCCTTCTGGTGCGGCTGCCCGTGGGCACCCCGCCCGCCTTCTCAAGTCTCTACCACCCTCCTTACCAGTTAGGTTGTGCTACAGCTGATTCTTCTGTCTGTCCGGGGTTATAAGGCTCATCTCTTGCTATTGTTCAGTTGTTTGTTCCAGGTGATTTCTCCACAGTTTAGTTGTAATTCCAGGTTGGTCTTGGGAGGAGGTCAGTGTGACTTCCACTCACTCCTCCACCATCTTGATTCCTCTCTGGTTTGACATCTTTTGTCAATTTTGGAAAATACTCCCCTTTTGTCTCTGTAGATAGTTCTTCTGACCCACTTGTTTCCTTTTTACATATATGTTAGAATTTTTTGCTTTGTCCTTTGTCCTTTATTTCTCTTCTGTTTTCCATTCTGTGGTCTCACTGAGCTTTATTCCAGCAGATTCTTTTCACATCTCTTCTGATTTTCTGATTCTCATTGCAGTGTATTCAATCAGCTGTTAAACCTTATCCACTGAGAGAATAACTTTTATATTTTTCAGATACAGAATTTGTATTCTTTTCAAATTTCTTGAGTTGTCCTCCACTTTTAAAAAATGATTTCTAGTTCTCTTCAGAAATTCTTGAATTAATCTACCATCTCCTTGAACATAATACATAAACTCATAAGGTCTACGTTTTATAATTTCAGCTTTTGGAACATAGCTAATTTGTTCCTGTTGGTTTTGTTCACCACGTCTTGTCTCCTTATGTGCCTGGTGGCTGTATGAATGTGTATAAGGCATTCATACAGAATCCAGTATCAGGATTTGAAAAGACATGGGTTGCAGTTTCTTTGAGGGTTTGCCTATTTATTGTTCATCCTTACTTTTGGAGTCTTGAATTTAAAGGGCATAGAATTTCCCATACTTTCCAGCTTTGGCAGGTCTGAATCTATAATTTTGTCTCCCTTATCCTGTGAGGCTGTGAAAAGCTCTGCTCCACTTCTTAGCCTTAGCTGCCTCTTCTCGATGCCCCCAAGGGAAAGCTGCCCTACATACCTGACTCACTCCTCTGGATATTCTTCTCTGGGATCTTGGCCTGCTGATTCTTAACTGCCTCTTCAGTTCTTGGATGCCTTTTAGTCACACACCCATCTCCCCCATGTTTTTCTAGTTTTCCTCATTGGAAGGTTTTCTTATCACTATTACTGGAAATAGAACCACTTTTTTTCCTGCTGTTAAAACTTATCCATTGAGATACTATTATTTCTTTCTGTATTAACTTTTTAGATTATCCAAGTATTACCTGTGTAACATAGTATACTAAAAAGATGAAAAAATTTAAAGGAGCAGAAAAAAGTCACAATGCCAGCAGTATGAGGCATATCCTGTTAATAGTTCCTTTTTGTTAGAGAGTGGGTTATAGATAAGGGTTAGGGGAAGAATTTGGAGATAAGCTTAGTTTAGATAATCTGAGTTTGAGGTGATATCCAGGTAGAGTTGTGCTTGAGGCATTTAGATATTAAACAAACAAACATAGAGCAGTGTGATGATCTGGATTTGGACATTAAAGATAGTAAGCTAGTTGAACCTATCAAAGTAAATGGAAGGGCATTGGTGGTTGTAGACTGTTCCACTACTAGGGATAGCACAGATTGAGAAGTGACAGGGTAATGAAGGAAAGGTAAGATAGACTTAAGATTTATACTGTGAAGAAGGCCAGGGTAGCCTCATATTTTGTATATGTAGGCTGTATGTTTACAGGAAAATTTTTTTTATCCCATACTTAAAGGCTTTGGTTGATATTTCTTTTAAAGCCTGAAGTCCTATAAGGTAAATAGTAGTTATATAAGAAACAGTATTCTAGTGTGAAACATTTAGTAGTATTTTAGATCTAATCACAAAATTTTTAGAGTAAGCCCTGAAGTTCAGGATTTCAGACTAGCTAATAATTTGTATTTAGTATTGTGCAAGAGACTTTTATCAATCTCTTGTTCTGTTAAATGTGTGTAACAATGAAATCACAGCATTGAAGAAAAATCAAACTATGTTATGTCTACTAAGTATTACAAATAAATGACTTTTACACTGAATCAGTTCATAGAGAGAGCAAGAATACAAGAAGCAGCACTCTTGTATTTTCTGTTTAAATAATCATTGGTACTAAAGATAAAAAAGAGGGGTGACTTCATTTAAGTTTTTTTGGTGATATAAATTATTTCAGTTCGATACCAAAACTAGTTCTTTAAGCAAATGTGCACAAAGGCCATCTAAAGATAGGCCAGAAATTTATGACCATATACCTACTTATTTTTAACATGTAATTGGAGTTATCTTTTTGTTTCTACAGTTTTAATTGTATTTTGATAACTTTGCTATGCATTTGGTTATTAAACAAGAGAGATTATAACATGGGAATTTGATTTAACAGAGCTACAATAGAAGAGGCATACTCCAGGTCAATGACAAAACTAGCAAAATCTGCAAGCAATTATTCACAACTTGGGTGAGTTAATTTCTTTGACGAACTTTTTTTCAGTGTTGATTTAGGCAGAATTCATCAGAAAATTAGGTTTATTGAGGATATAATAGTTCATAAATGTGAAATATATAATAATATACTTATTTAAAATGTATCTGTGACTATATTCTTGACTTGCTTGGAAATGTAATTGAATTTGCTAAATTACTTAATACAGTCACGCACATGAAACTTAATCCCCCCCCCCCTTTCTTAAACAGCGTAGTCATTCTTTAGTGTAATTTGGACATTATAAGTATTATGTGTAATGCTTGTTATCCTAGTTTTCTGTAGGTTCATTTAAATACTGCTAAACAGTGATCTTTAAAAACTCACTTAAAATAAACTATTGAAATGTTAAAATGCATTAGAAATGTCTCATGATTTTTATAGATGGTCATTAAGTCTTTTTAAGAATTTGTTGAAGAAATGCGTTCTTTGGAAAATAAATATTAATAATAAGAATATATTTAAAGCGAGATATGCTTATAGCCATAACAACTCTGGGAATAATAATTATATAATTTGAATCATAACAACTATGGAAGGAACACTTAATCTGATTTAATTATCTAAAATTTGGGGAGGTTATATTTTAGCTCAAATGTGAAGATAGTTTGTCTAACACATAAAGATTTTTATAGTGATATTTAGTAAAAGATTCCTCTTTTTATGGGTTTCTGATGAATCTGTGAATCCCTGGAAATTTTATGTAAAGTTTTATGTATTATTAACTCATTTCTGATGTAGAGAGTCTATACTAGTTATCAGATTGATGTGGTTTTGTGATTCAAAAAACTGTTTAAGAATAACTGTTTTATGAAAGTATTCTCTACTGTCATGACACTGACTATGTAAGTGCTGATAGCCACAACTAACAGAACCTTTTGTTAATATGTACACTGGCTGGGAAGTATAGAGAGCTATCACCTTATTCAGCAGAGGAGAGCAGGGACTGGTAGTTGATTACTTTTGTTTCTTCCTCCAAGTCCTCCTCCAGTTCTTCCCCCTCCACTCTCTCCATATAACTTCATTCTTCTTTTCTCCATCTCTCTCCTCACTTTTCTTGTATCCTCCTACTTCTGGAGCCTCCATTTAAACATGCCTCTTCTAAAATGTAACTTCTTTATTAACTGTAGTGGAAGGGTCAGAAAGTAACTAGAATAACAAATTGGCCATTTAAAAAAAAAGATTTCATTTATTTACTTTTGGGGGAGGGAAGTGAGGGAGAAAGAGAGTGAGAAAAACATCGATGTGTGAGAGAAACGTCAATCAGTTGCCTCTCACAAGACCAGCAACCCAAGAATGTGCCCTGACCTGGGATCCAACCAGTGGCCTTTTTTGCTTTGCAGGATAACTCCCAAGCAACTGAGCTACACCAATCAGGGCTAGCCATAATGTACTGAATGAAATTCTAACCTATTTTTAATCACCAGGTGGGAGATAAAAAAACACAGATTGACTTTAGCTGTGTTTCCTGATAATAAAGTTACTGACAGCATTTCTCTCTTTGGAATATGTGCTTTTCATAAATAATAGATGATTTTTATTTTTTGCTTTATCATCTTAAGATCACAAAGATTTTAAATATTAATGTTTTTGTTTACTGCTGCATATTTAGGCAAGAAATTCAATTTTACCTTTCTTTGTTTAGTTGCATTTAAGCATATTTTGGATTCATCTGTTTTCTTTCTTACTGTTTATTATACATGTTTATTACTTGACTAGGAAGAAAGTTATATATATCAAACTTTTGTAAATGAAATATTTGAAATTCCTTAAAGAAACCTATATTTAATGAAATCTTATGTTGAACTGCTTTTCACTGTAAAGAATCCTTTGGTAAAAGCAAAGGGATACTCTTATCTGCTTTGTGAAGTCTAGACTATCATGTATCAGGTTTACATGAAGTGATATACAAGTCCTTTAGTGCTGTACTAGTGGATACATTTTAGGTGTCTTTTTTCCTTTCAAAAGTTTCCATCTAACTACATGCCAGATTTAGTGCTGATGAGAGATTTTAAAAGTGTGAAGTGAGATCTAATCAGAACAATCCTATCCTAAGTATTTTAAAAATCTTTGAATTATTAAAATGTTTCTTAAAATGAGCATTGTTAGCTTTCCTACTAGGTAGGAAATGCAATAATTGGCATAGAATACATATTAGGATAAGTAATTTCTTTCTCTATCCTTTTGACTTAGTGATTATTGCTGCTATTTGTTTTGTTTTCTGTTAGAAGTTTTGTCATAGAACAAAGCAAGTGCTGTTGAATATACTTTAGGAACTACCTGAGGATGGCATAGGATAAAATTATTCTTAGATTGTTCTCTATTGACCAAATTAGTTTAAATTAATCATTGGCATCCCAAGTACTATCTAAGCTATTATGATATAGTAAATAATTCTTGGAAGTACTTGAACCTTCTGAATTTGTTAAATCCTCAATATTGAGAGAAGGTGGTAGGAAAGTATGTCATGAGTGTTATTCCATGTAGAAGAAAGGGGACACTCAGCGTTTGTTGAAGTACTCAGATAAAATTGTAATGCCTCCCAAAGGTTTTAGATAACAGTTTAAAAATTATTCTGTGTAATTATTAAGGATGAAGGCACTAAAAAAGTCATGTGCAAGTTTTAACTTTTGCATGTGTAAATTCAAAGGAACCTTTTTTTTTTTTTTTTTTTGGGTGCACCATTCCTGGAAGTACTGCAATACCAGGTCGATGCGTGGAGTGGACGGAGCAAGCTCCTATTCCATCTCCTAATTCTAAAAATCCATTTAATATATTGTCCTCGGATAGAGGACGTATCAGATATTAAACTGATAAGAACAGATACTACACTTGATCTTAGCCAAAAGGCCGAGAAGCGATAAGGAACTTTTATTATTGATGAAGCATTTTCAATGGAGACAGTGATTGGAAATGCTTCTGATACAAGTCTAAATAACCAAATCAACTGAGAAAATAATAAAATTAAATGAAGGCCATGGCCAGACATTTGATAATTAGTTAACCTATTTCTGTATACCAGAGATCCAGAAATGTTTTATTCAATTAACCAAAGATTTAAAAAGTAAGAGCAGTCTGTCAGTCATTTAATTTTTAATTTATTTTAATTTCATCTTTTGCGTATTTAAAATGGCTGAATATAACATTATTAATTCCACTTGTTCTATTTTGGAGCCTTAAACTTTTCTTTTTTAAGTAAATTATTTTCATGTTTTCTTTCCCTTAGAACATTTGCCCCAGTGTGGGATGTGTTCAAAACATCTACAGAGAAATTAGCTAATTGTCACTTGGATCTTGTTAGAAAACTACAAGAACTAATAAAGGAAGTTCAGAAGTATGGAGAAGAACAAGTAAAGTCTCATAAAAAGGTATAACTTTTTCTTGTTAAAGGATTGATTGATCAGATATTGAGTGTTTTACAGTTTCAGCATTTTTGATGAATCATTTTATACCAAACAGACTAAAGAAGAAGTTGCAGGAACTCTGGAAGCTGTTCAAACCATTCAGAGCATAACTCAGGCCCTCCAGAAGTCCAAGGAAAATTACAATGCCAAGTGCGTAGAACAGGAACGTTTGAAAAAGGAAGGAGCTACACAAAGAGAAATAGAAAAGGTAATTATAATAAAAATAATTCCTCTATGGTTTCAAAGCACTGTCGAACGCAAGAGTGCATTTAATCTTCAGACACTCACAAATGATTTCATATTTGAGAGGACACTATGCCTCCGAGTATTAGTGATATACGTGAGTGAAACAGAGTTAGGTTTGCAAAATATGTTGTATGTGGTAAACAAATTAGCATATACATAAAAAGGAATGATTTCTTTTTGTCACTGACACTTTACAGGATATATTTATAATATAATCGAGATACTGCTTGGAATAAGATTTAATAATGAGGTAAAAAACTTTGTGAAGCAAGACTTTGGTGTAATAGAAAGGCATAGATACTTGAAGATAAGCTTTAAATATAGGTTGTGGTCAATATATTGCTGACTTTGAGCACATTTATGTAGTACTGTGGTAAACCACAACCCTTTCCCCACTTGTATTTTAATTGAAAGTAGGTTTTTCCCCCCTTTCAAAACAGTTTAATCATTCGTTTGATGTGGTATAGTTTCTATTAGGAATGAGCTGTAGGGAGTGATAATTTTGAAAACTGTGTAAAGTATTTGAAATATCCAATAAAGAAAACCAAATTGCAACCATATTACAATTACAATTATTATAGTGTGCACGCATGGGCAGAAACTAGAAGAAAACATAGAAAAATCAAAACAATTGATGGAATTTGGTATAATATATTTCCTTTAATATTTATGCAATAAATAAGAATTAGGAAGGGGAGAGAAATGAGGCATAGTAATTTTGCAGTTTAAAAAAATACCCCCATTCTAGACATAGCAATTTTGAATAAAATATAAAAAGGGAAAACAACAAATAACAGGTTCCAAAAAGAATACTACCTTTATGAACCAGAAATGAAACAGAAACCTGAAGTGGCATGTCGAGATTGATTATGCAGGCTTGTTGGACTCAAAGTCCTAAGTTAGGCAGTAGATTTTGCCTTTTGTGTGGTAAAGAGGACTATATTCCATACTTAAGATAATCGCAAGGACAAGCAATTACTGGGAAGAACTCAGGAAACAGGCTGGACAGCTGGAAAATGAACTTGACCTGAAACTAGTGCCGAGATGGAAGACATGACAGGTATAGCTCTGACACAACACCCCTTTTAAATGGATCAAAGCAAGAAAGAATGTTTGAAACAATGGCAATTGAGATCGAACAGCTTTTGGCAAGGCTTATAGAAGTAAGTGAAAAAACAGCAGAATATATTAACAGTGTGGGTGTTCCCTCCTTGAATGCAGCATTGATGCATGTATTACAGTGACAGACTTATATTGCAGGATTATATACGTGAATTCTATAAAACCAAAGCAAACTTTATAGAAATACAGGAAAGGGAGACTCTCATGGGATCAGTACAAAAGGACATTGAGTCATATAAAAGTGGGTCTGGAGTAAACAACAGAACTGAACTATTTTTGAAAGAATATGAGCACCTTTGAAACTCAGATCGTCTAATAGAAGAAGCAATAAGCATTGCTATGGCAACAAAAGAAAATAAAACTGCACAGAGAGAAATGTTGAAATTGATTCAGAGCAAAGTGAACACTGGCCAATCGTTTTCCTCCTGTGAACAGCCTGATCCAGTGAATCAACCTTAGGAAGTGGCTAGACTCACTAATTCTGGGTAGTGGTATTGTTGTATATACCATCCTATTGCTACTGTATGCTTTCCATTGATGGGACATCTCTAGGAACTCTTGAGAACTACCACTTTCAGGCCCTGATCTGGAATAAAGAATGGAAGGAGAAATAGACTGTTTTTGATAATTAGACTTATTAGCAGGATTATCTAAGACTGAGAGTGATGGACTCTTTGACATTGTCATGAGACACAGGTTTTCTGTACTGTTTTTTCTAACACACACTTCCATCTGTTTTTAGTTTTAATAAAAGAAAAGTAAGGAAAAAAAGATAATCACAAGGAGCCCCACTCATTGTATAAAGCTGTAAGTAGGGAAGGAAAAATGCTCTTGGGTTGCTGACTAGAGCTCAAACTTTATTGGAAGTTGGCATTTTTGGGGATATGATTCTGACTGTGAGTCAATCAAGCCAAGGAACCAATTCATGACTACTTTGGTCATATCTCCAATATTTTTCTGGGTAAGTAATTAAAAACTACTTTTACAAGACTGATACTAAACTGGGGTCTTGGAGGGCTGGCAGGAGATAACCTTAAAACTACTAGATTGGAATGGGTGAACATAAAGAGTGGAGCCTAACACGATCCTAGGAGGTACCATTTACATTGTATTCTATGGAGATGTCTAGCAGTATTGATAGAAAGAGAAAGGGGGGGGGGGGACCCCTCCCATTTGAAATGAGCAAACAGCCAAAATTCTAGTGCACATCTAAGAAATCTAATACTAAGACACCAATAAACTTAACAATTGGAATGAGAACTCAGTCCAGATGAAATTTAAATTTATAAAACAAATGAACGAAAACATTTTTGTTGAGGTTCAAAGAGGTAAGTCCATATAAACTTACATTAAAGAAGATTAGGACATCTGGTCAAGATGGAGGCATAGGTAGACATACTTTGCCTCTTTGCGCAACCATAGAAAGAATTACAACCAGATCTTAAAAACAGATAACACCCAGAACTGTCAGAAAATTCAACTGTATGGACGTCTGACAACCAAGGATTTAAAGAAGCCACATTCATCTGACAGATAGGAGGGGCAGAGAGGTGGAGTGGATGGTCCCACATTCACATGTGGTGGATAAAAACCAGGAGGGAAGCCTTGGTAGTGAGCGATCCCAGCCCCTAGCCAGACCGCACAGCTCAGGGTTCCAGCACCAGGAAGATAAACCACCATTACCTCTGACTGTAAAAACCAGTAGGGGGTGGGGCGGCAGAAGAAACTGCCTGAATTTCACTGCTTAAAGGGCCTGAATGGTCTTAGAACATACACAAACCCCACTGCAACAGCTGAAAGGGTGCCAGTCACATATGGGAGGCGGGTGAGGTGACTAGACGCTGGTCAAGTGCTGGGCAGGCCTCCAGAAGCCAGGCAGCAGCATTATCCCCTCTCTGACCCCCCTGCTCCCACATATAGAGCCACAAAGAGGTGAAGTGGGTTGCCCATCCCTGGAAATTATCTAAGGCTCTCCCCGACACAATTTACAGGTGCCTTTTCTATATAGGCAACACTATTAAAACAGGGAGTAAAAGCAGCTCTAATACACAGAAATAAAGACAGGAAAGCCGCCAAATTGAAGAGGCAAAGAAACATGGCCCAAATAAAAGAACAGATCAAAAGTCCAGAAAAAGAACTAAAAACACATAAGCAATCTATCAGATAGAGTTCAAAACACTGATTATAAGAATGCTCAAGGAACTTAGGGCCTCAGCAGCATAAAAAAGATCAAGTCATAAACAAAGGATTCATTAATTGAAATAAAGAACAATTTACAGGGAAACAACCGTAGAGTGGATGAGGCCAAGAATCAAATCAGTGATTTGGAACATAAGGAAGCAAAAAACCAGTCAGAACAAGAAGAAAAAAGAATCCAAAAAAAGAGGATAGGGTAAAGCAACCAGTGGGACAACTTCAGGAGGTCCAACATTGGCATCATAGGGGTACCAGAGGGAGAAGAGAAAGAGCAAAAAATTGGAAATCTATTTGAAAAAACAATAAAAGAAAAATTCCCTAATTTGGTGAAGGAAATAGACATTCAAGTCCAGGAAGCACAGAGAGTCTCAAACAAGAGAGATGCAAAGAGGCCCACTCCAAGACACTTCATAATGAAAATGCCAAAGGTTAAAGATAAAGAGAGAATCTTAAAAGCAGCAAGAGAAAGGCAGTTACCTACAAGGGAATTCCCATAAGACCGTCAGCTGATTTCTCAAAAGAAACTGCAGGCTAGAAGGGACTGGCAAGAAATATTCAAAGTCATGAAAAGCAGGAACCTATAGCCAAGATTGCTATGCCCAGCAAAGCTATCATTTAGAATGGAAGGGCAGACAAAGAGCTTCCCAGACAAGAAAAATCTAAAGGAATCCATCATCACCAAACCACTATTATATGAAATGTTAAGTGGACTTATTTAAGAAAAAATCAAAACTATGAACAATAAAGTGGCAGTAAATACATATCTATCAACAACTGAATCTAAAAAAAGAAACTAAGCAAACAAGAACAGAGACAGACTCATGGATATGGAGAGCGTTTTGATGATTGCCAGATGAGAGGGGTTTGTAGGGAAAGGGTAAAGAGGTGAGGGGATTAAGAAGTACAAATAGTTACGGAATAGCAAAGAGGATGGACGGTATAGTATAGGAAATGGAATAGCCAGAGAAGTTACACTCATGACCCATAGATATGAACAATGGTGTAGGGGGTAGGGGATGTTCACTGGAGGGAGGCAAAGGGGGAAAAATTGGGACAACTGTAATAGCATAATCAGTAAAATATAATTTAAAAAAATGTAGATTTTCCCAGTGCAATTACCTTCTAAATTTGCTTCTATATCCTTTTATATAACCTTAGTTTTCTTTAAATATGTTTTTATCATTATTTAAAATACCTTGTAAGTCAACAAAAAATTTTTTTAAATTTTAGTTTTTTATTATCATGTACTGCTTTTGTCAGTTTTCCAAGATGCTTCCTTAAGTTGGTATATAATTTCCTTAATATTCTGGAATATTTTAACCTTGGAGAGTGACAGCTGATATAAAGAATGTAAGTTACAACTTATAAAGGGTAACTTTTTCTTCATGCTTCTAAATAAGATGAAAGAAAATGTACTGTTTCCTGTTATCAGAAAGTATGTTTCAAAAGACTTAACCTGTTTGCAATTCTGGGTTAGATCTAGCTCTTACCTTCTGAAATGAAGACATTAATTTCACAGTCAGAAATAGTGAACAAATAAGTTTGTATGCTGAGTTGAATGACTAGACCAAGATGATGAGAATATTGTAGGGGGAAAAAGCTATAAAATATGCTGATTTAAAATTTTTAAATTAATATTTTTACTCCTCTTGACTAAGTAAAGATTTGAGTACCAAAACTAGTTAGAATTCTAGACTATTTGAGTATAGGAAGAGGAAATGATGCTTCAGGAACTTCCTCCCATCTCTTAAAAGTGCTATAATTTTAAGTGTCATGAATAGTGTTGTGAAATAATTGCTTTGTTTATATTCTAGAGAGATATTATAGGTCTTTTAAAAGGAGTAATGTTCCTCCAGTCAGTCTTTTATTTCTATTAGATTATAAATTCCTTGGAATCAGAAACCATCATTGTATTGCCCACAACACAACAAATGTGTTTACTTCAAAAAATAATCATTAGAACAAAATATTGGAATTTTCCCTGCTTATAAATATAATAAAGTTTGTTTTAAATATAGGCTGTAGACTAGAGTGTAGCCTTTTTCCAATAGCTTATTCAAGTATTTTTCTGATTGATAGATTATGAAGTGGTAATCTGTATGCAATAGTAAATAAATGTTTTACTTACTATGTGTCTGTCATGTTATGTGCTAGATATTATCAAGGTTATTGAAGGCTAAGTACATTATTACTTCCTCTCATTTTCAAGAACCTTTCTTTTTGGGGAGTCAAGACGAATAATGCAGAACAAGAGGTTAGAAAGAGGTTTTAATCTAGGTTAGAAGAGGAAATCTTATTTTGTACAAATGTGTAAAAACAAAACCTGTAAAAAGAAAATAGGAAAGATCCAATGAAATAAATGACTTTTAAAAGTATTGACACAGTCATTATAGTTGTATTTTGGGGGAATTTTCCATTATGAGTTTTCTTTCAAATTGCAGTATTTCGAAGAATGATCACAACTGATGTCTTTATCAATAGCTGGCACAAATTATTAGGCAGGAACTTAATAGCAGAGAAAAAGAGTAGGTGTTAGGATGAGGAACAAGAAAAGAATGAGCTACTTGTAGGACTGTGTCATTTGGCTGGGCTGTGTCATTAAAAATCACTCCATGGACTGTTGGTTGCACAGCCTGAAAATTTAGGTAGCTGGAAGAAGAAACCAAAATCTCTTGGCATTACAGAAAAAAAAATTCAAAATGAAACATTGATAACCATGCCATTAAAATTGTTTCTAAATTAAATTCTAGTAATCTTGGTTATCTGGGTTTCCTATGAAGGTACATAGTAAACTTTAAAGTATTTATCTCATTTAATTGTTAGTGTTTGAACAGGGACAGGATGTTAGAGGAAGGTATAGTAACAGTAGTATAAAATAATGTCAAATGGCCAGGTAGTGGGGAAAGAGTAAAAAGAAAAATCCTTAGGAGCAGACTAGAAAATTACTTGAGGGATAGAGAGCTCAGTACAGCTCTTAGATATAATAATAGCACATGATATATGTTCCTGATTATATTCCTTTTAGAAACCATAATAATATCAGATACCATTTATTTTGTAAGTTAAACTATATGCTGGATCCTGTCCCAGGCACTTTACCTGAAGTGCAATTAACCATTGCCAAAGCTCTAAAACATAGATGGTATTGTTCCCATTTTAGGAATGGAGAACTATATATAATGTTCAAAGACAAGGTCAAATTGAATCCTGTGTCTTCTAGCTCCAAAACCAGTTTTCTTTGTACTACAGGATAAAGTGGCATTCTATATGCTTTACTCATGAAAGTGGGAAAGCATAGAACACATATTTAATATTACTATGTGCACTCGTATTTTAGAACGAGTATAATTACTTTTTTAGAGAGTAGGAGTCTGTGTACTCTTGCCAATCGCAAACTTCCAGGTAAACCGAACTTTCTAATTCTTATTCTTAGACTTCTGAAGGTAGAGAAAATTATATATTGGTTCTAATTGGCTTTACACAAATTCCATGTTTTTCAGCATTACTTAATCCTTTGTGACTCTTAGCAATATTTTTACGCATCTAGGTATTACCTGTCACATCCTCCACAACCATGGTTTAAAACTTTTTTATTCTCCAGAAGCTCCCAACCCTATCCTGCTCTTCTTTACTCTTAGCAGACCATCTTTTACTTCATCAAGGAAATGAAGATCTTTGTATCTTGAAATCCTATAGCTTTTTAAAAAATCTTCTTTAAACTCTTACTTCAACATCTCTCCCTCTTCAGACTTCCCTTGTCCAAGTTGATCAGTCCTTTGAGAATAGTCAAGTTTCTTGTTAGACAATTTATAAGTTACACACAGTTTTCCCCTTTCCTAAATGTCTGTCTTCCACAGAATATCTTTATTTCTATGGCTTTGTTAACTTGCTATCAGTTTCTAGCGGTTCATGTAGAAGTTAATTGTCTTTTATGAAGTCATTGGGACGATTGCTATATAATTTATCTTCATATTCTTCACTGCTTTATATTTAATATGTTGTTTTTACTGAATATGGAACTTTGAACTACAACTGTAATAATACAGTAACAATTTTTAAAAAATAGAAATCATGAAAAAATTGGCTGTGATTAAAATCAAATTTATAGATTTGCTGGAGCATAGCGGAAACTGAGATAAGGAAAACTGATATTCTCAACTTTTGAGCTGGCTTTATAGCTATTAATCAGAATTTCAGTGGAACACATATATGTTGTGCGGGGAGGAAAACTCGCATGTATAGAAAAGTGTCAAATATATTCTGATGGTGTTGTCACATTTTTGTTCATTGAAATTTTAGTTACACTGTATCATTATAATGTGGTTATATGATCCTAGTTTGGGTTATAGAAAGAGGAGAGAATTTAACTTTTCAAAGCACATTTCATCAGACAGGATCAGCATTTAATTTCTGTATTATGTGACTATAACAAAAAATAGTATTAAGGAGGACTTGAAAAAAGATATTAAATTACTTTATGTCATATTGAACTCAGCATAGTTCTGATCCCTTAAAATCCGTTAAATTGTTATTTCATATTAACTTACATCAAGAAAGAAGAAAGGTCATTTTGTAGTTCAAAATGTTTTTGTTTTGTTACAGGCAGCTGTTAAATCTAAGAAAGCTACAGATACCTATAAACTCTATGTGGAAAAATATGCATTAGCAAAAGCTGATTTTGAACAGAAAATGACAGAAACGGCTCAGGTTGGTAATTTTAAGGGTTTAAATCTACAACAAGATATTTATGTTTACTGGTTAAATATAATTTTTGTTATAATTTTTAAACTTTTTAAATGTTAAAATGCACACTCTCAATGTTTTAATAATGCTATTTTAAAATACACATTTTGTTTTGGAGATGAGGACCAAGATGCAGTAATTATAATGGATCATTCAGATCAGAAGAGGCTGTTTAAAGAGAGTTGGGGAAAATGAGGACATTGGCAAATGTTAAGATGAAAACTGGAAATGACTCAATGTTGAGGATACAGCAGTTAACAAGACAATTAAAACTCCCTGCTTTCATAGAACTTCCATTTTAGTGAGAGAAGACAGACAATAAAAATAAAATCTGTATTCCATAAGCTTGGGATAATTATATTCAATTTGATGTTCTAGAGCTTTAATTAAAGGCCTAAGTTTAAGATGGATGCCTTTTATGAATCATTCCTAAAATTTCACCCCCACCCTCTTCTTCCTCTTCTTTTTTTTTTCCTTGCAGCACCTTTTCATCATCTAACATACCATGAATTTTATTTATTGTATTAGTCATGATAGGTCGGGTATGCTGAGGTGACAAAGAACCCCTCCCCTGCCAAAATCTCAGTGGCTTACAATAGCAAGGGTTTATTTGTTATGCTACTTGTTCATCATGGGTCAGCTGCATTAACTTCACGATGGTACTGAGGCTGGGGGAGGAACCTTTTCTTAGAACATTATTCTTAGTCATGAGGGGACTAGAAACATGGTGAAACACACTAGCTTTTCTACCCATTTTTTTAATCCTCATTTCAGGGCACGTTTATTGATTTTAAAGAGAAGGGAAGGGAGGGAAAGAGAAACAGCGATGCAAGAGAGAAACACTATTCGGTTGCCCCTTGTATACAGACCTACAGGGGACCGAACCCATAACCTAGGCACGTGCCCTGACTGGGAATTGAACCCACAGCCTTTCAGTTTATGGGATGATACGCCAACCAACTGAGCCACACCAGCCAGCATTATAACCCATATTTTTCATTGTCCCATTTCCCCCATAAAAATGTAAGTTCTAGGGAAGCAGGGATTGATTTACTTACTGCTGTTTCCTCAGCACTTAAAACAGTTCTCAGATCATAGTACGCACTCAGTAGGTGTGAAAGAAGGAGTTATGAGTCTGACTGTTTGGACTCTAGGGAGTCATCTTCTCACTGGGAGTAGTGAAGGATTTACATCTCACAAATCAAAAGGCTTGCATGCTTGTGTGTAGGCATACATGCATCCATGTTTACTAACCATGTTGTGGGCACTGTGCTAGATGCTGGGTGGGTACTGTATCTGTGCAAATGAAAGAAATATCTCCCTGCTTTAGGAATATAGATGAGGGAGGCAGACATTAAATACATGCCTAAATATAAAGTTATAAATTATTATGGTGTTACAAGGGAAAAGAATAGGCTTCCATGAGATAGAATACTAGGGGTGACCTAATTTAGGTTAGGAAGTTAGGAAAGGCACATTGGAGAAGTGACATTTAAAATTGAGGCTTAAAGAATGAGTCAGAGACTCATTCCAGGGCCAGAGTTCATTCTAGGCATTGGGGACCATAGGTATGAAGACCCAGAGGTGTAAAAGAGCTGACACTTACACTTCTGGCCAAGATGGAGACATAGGTAGACACACTTTGCCTCCTCACACAACAAAAAGAAGGGCAACATCAAATTTAAAAACGAAAACCAGTCAGAACTGCCAGAAAATCAAACTGTATGGAAGTCCAACAACCAAAGAGTTAAAGAAGAAACATTCATCCAGACTGGTAGGAGGGGCAGAGACGGGCAGCTGGGGCAGAGAAGGTGTGCGGCAAGGCAGCAGCTGGAGGACCAGGTGGTCCCACATCTTTGTGCGGATAAACCAGGAGGAACAGCTGGGGAGCGAGACAGACTTCGCAATCCAGGGTTCCAGTGTGGGAAAAGAAAGCCTCATAACCTCTGGCTATAAAAATCTGTGGTGGATGAGGCAACGGGAGAAACCCCCAGCTTCATAGGAGAGTTCGTTCTAGAGACCCACAGGGTCCTAGAATGTACAGAAACCCATCCACCTGGGAATCAGCACCAGAAGGGCCCAGCTTGCTTGTGGGCAGTGGGGGAAGTTACTGAAAACCAGCAAGAGCCGAGCAAGTGGCAGTGTTTTTTCTTGGACCCCTCTCCCACAGAGAGCATCACAACTCAGTGACCTGGGTTGCCCCCTCCTTGGCGACTACCTAAGGCTCTGCCCCTTACAATGTAACTGGCGCACTGAGACAAAGCAGTATGGCCCAAATGAAAGAACAGATCAAAGCTCCAAAAATTGAACTAAGCGATGAAGAGAAAGCCAGCCTATCAGATGCACAGTTCAAAACAGTGGGAATCAGGATGCTCACAGAAAAGGTTGAGTATGGTTGCAAAATGGAGAAAAAAGTGAAAGCTATGCAAAATGAAATAAAGAAAAATATATAGGGAACCAACAATAAAGGGAAGGAAACCAGGACTCCAGTGATTTGGAGCAGAAGGAATAGAGAAACACTCAACCAGAAAAGGATGAAGAAACAAGAATTCAAAAAAATGGGGAGAAGCTTTGGAAACTTTGGGACAACTTTAAATGTTCCAACATCCGAATCGTAGGGGTCCCAGAAGGAGAAAGGAAGAGCAAGAAATTGAAAACTTATTTGAAAAAATAATGAAGGAGAACTTCCCCAATCAGGCAAAGGAAATAGACTTCTAGGAAGTCTAGGAAGCTCAGAGGGTCCCAAAGAAGCTAAACCCAAGGAAGCAGACACCAAGGCACATCTTAATTACGTTACCCAAGATTAAAGTTAAGGAGAGAATCTTAAAAGCAGCAAGAGAAAAGGACACATGTACCTACAAAGGAGTTCCACAAGACTGTTAGCTGATTTCTCAAAAGAAACCTTTCAGGAAAGAAGGGGCTGGAAAGAAGTATTCAAAGTTATGAAAGACAAGGACCTACATCCAAGATTACTCTATCCAGCAAAGCTGTCATTTAGAAATATTGGGCAGATAAAATATGGGCAGATAAAGTGCTTCCCAGATAAAGTTAAAGGAGCTCATCATAACCAAGCCCTTACTATATGAAATGTTAAAGAGATTTATCCAAGAAATAGAAGATCAAAAACTATGAACAGTAAAATGAAAACGAACTCACAACTATCAACAACTGAACCTAAAAAAAAAACAAGAACAGAACAGAATCACAGAAATGGAGATCAGAAGGGAGGGGGATGGAGGAGAATGGGGGAAAAGGTACAGGGAATAAGTAGCATAAATAGTAGATACAAAATAGGGGAGGTTAAGAATAGTATAGAAATGGAGAAGCCAAAGAACTTATATGTATGACCCATGGATGTGAACTAAGGGATGGGGGGGAAATGCTGGTGGGAGGGTGAATGCAGGCCGGAGAGGAATAAATGGGAGAAAAAAGAGGACAAATGTAATAACATTATCAACAAAATAAAAAAATATATATAAAGAAATTTTTACAATAAGATCATGAACTAACTTTGTATGGTGACAGATTCACATTTTTAAAAAAAGCTCTCACATTAAATTAAAAAAAATGCTTACTTACACTGAGTAAGGAGAGATGATGGTGAGGCATGAAGTTAAAAGATAGGCAAGGACCAGACTTTAATAAGAGTTTGAGTTTTCTTCTAAGAGTAGTTTGAAGATCCTGGAAGATAGTACGCAAGCATAGGATATGATAGGTCTGCATTTTAAAAGGTAATTCTGATAGTTTTTTGAAGAATAGATTATACTGAGGCCAAAGAGGAGTCTGGAGTCCATTTCAGAAGGCAGTTAGAGAGGTGAGAAGGATGAGGGCCAGAGTGGCAGCCTTGGAGGAGAGAAGTGAATGGCATAAGTGGGGTGGATGGAAGAATTCTAGAGAGATCAAGAGCTCCTCTAGAGTTTGGCTTCTAAGTCTATGGATAGAGATGAATGGGAAAGACTAGATGAAGAACTGTTAGTTTGAGGGGTCAGATTGTGATCAGATGTTCAGTTTTGAATATCCTATACCTATATGGAGACAACAAATGGGCAGTTTTGGAGGATCTAAGTAAGCTGGTCTAAACATAGTGTTCACAGTCCCTTACCCACAATTTGGGCTCCAGAAGCTCTGAAAACCAAAAGCTTTTTTCTATAACTCGATTCACAGCAAAACTTTATTTATATTACTTAGACTAAATAATACATACATGTTTTCCTTTAGAAATATTACTGTTTTTGATAAGTAGATGCCACTGCAGATCCTGCTGGTAGTATTATGAAATATATGGTAATAATACCATATCATCTTCATTTAAAAATCCAAAATATTGAATTCCAAAACACCTAGCCCCAAAGGTTTTGAATAAAGGATTGTGGGTCTATATAAAATAGGGGCTTGCCCACACACAAAGCCAAAATCATCACCATTGGACAGAGTGTGGGGAAGAAAGGGCCACACAGAGAAATTAATCACTTACAGTTTGATAGAAGAATAGATGCTGAAACCCAAGTAGGAGAAGCCAGAGAAGGAAGAAAACTGGGAAATATAATGACATGGCAGCTGGGAAATGGTAATATTTCAAGAAGGGTTTATAGTTAGTTGTGTTAAATTGAGGCTTCAACTCTAGTGAGATAAAAAGTTAAGATCATTGTAGACTTCAGTAAGCGCCCTTTTGTTTTCGAAATCATTGCAATACTCATAAGGCAATTGTTGACTTGTTAATTTTGCATCAAAATGGCTAGTTTCTATTAATGAAAATATATGCCTTTCAATTACTTATTTTGGAGAAACAGGAATTAGAATTTGCTAGACTCAGGGTTTTTGTTTATATTACTTTATAAAAGTATTCTTCAATAATTTTAAGCATTCATCTTTTCCTCGCCTTCTCTGCTTCCTCAGCTGTTTTCCAGATTGGTGTTTTAATTGTTTAACCTGCCATATCCAGGATGGGAACATTAATTTATTTGATCATATGTATAATTAACCATGCTGCTTTTAAATAAAGATGATGGTATGCTGTGTTGATGTGTTTGTTTTCTCTCTCCCTCCCCCCCCACCACAGAACAGATTAACTATTATTTGTTAATAAATAGCAGTCTTTAATTTGTGTTACTTAGAATTTGTGGTTGACAATAAGCATGATTGAAATTGTGACTTGTCTTTGTGTTTATGCTTTTTACCACTATCAGTTAAAGGCACTTGAAAAACTTGAAACAATATGGAGATTTTGTTTAAACAATTTGATGGCTAGTTCAAGGAGACTGAGATTTTTTTTTAAGGAAGGATTTAGGTTTAGAGTGCTCTTATATATGGTGGCATATACAAGATGGCATAAAGAATTGTACCTTTTATGTACTTTGTAACAGTACATACAAACAGTGAATTTGAGATTGCAAGGAGGAGAAATCTCTCTCGTGTTCAAGAAAGTTCATTTATATATATTCAAACACTTAAGAGTATACTCCTATTGCTGAATTACTCTACTGATTTTGAGGAACTGTGATATTTAGCATTGCCTCCTCACCAAAAGCAACTCAGCACAATTTTAGAATTGTATATGAATCATGTGTTGAATTTGTGTGTGGCTTCATGCTCAAGATTTTTCTAAATAATTAGGGATCTGCCTTATTCACTGTAGCTGTTTCAGGAGAATGAGAAGGCCAGCACAGTTTTCTTGGAATCAGGAGTCATCCATATGCAATTAGTGGCATTTTGACCAAGCATTCCTGGATTTAGGTCTACCTGTCTGTGAAACAGTATTTTGTTAAGTTACAGAAGTTTAAGCTGAGGTTGACTTCTTACAATATGAACATAAAATAGAATCATGCTTTTGCTGAGTATTCCTCAGTTCTTAAGACTAATTCAGGATCTTACAGTATTGGTGTTCTCATTGACCTGGTCAGAATTAGTCAGGACAAGCACTCTATTTTAATTTGGTATGCCTCCTGAATAAAATTGATTAAAGTATTTGGATTATTGTTGCATTATTGCCAAAACTGTAATTGCACCATTTTTTTTTTTTAAAGTTCAGAGGCTTATCACAAATATGGACATGATCATTTGGCTTAGTGATTTTTTGATCATGAACCTCAGTGCTGAAGAAAACTGGACATTAAATGTGGGGTGAGGGAATTTAATTTGATAAACTAACCAGAGAAAAATAACAAGACGTTTAGGCTTATTCCTTAGAACTGATTTAATTTGGGGGGAGGGGAGGGTAATCAGGCTTGTGCAATGGAAATGACAAATGTATTTTGTTTGAAAATGGCTAGTTCAGCCTTTCCCTAATTCTGTTTTGAGGAATATTATTCTGTGAGATATTAATAGATATTCAGAGACAAAGGAAATTAAAAAAGGTTGTTTGGTCAAAGGATTTTGGAAAACACTGGGTAAACACAGTAGAACAAGTTTTGTTATTTTAGTAATTTTCAGAGTTTTTAACATTTATTGTGAGGCCAAGTCTAGCAGTGGTTTTCCTACTGGGGAATAAATACCAGAATAACCTGGGAATTTTTTCAGACAACCTTCTCACATCTTTCCACCCCCACTCCTCTAGGTAGCAGTGGAAGATCTGTTTTGTAGTTTAAAAACAATCCCCAGGTGATCTTTATGCACCCCTACCATCAGCTGAGAACTGCTAAGTAAGCTTATAGGTTCCCCAAATTTATTTGACCACAGACTATCTCTTTTGAAGAGTACATAATAACATTTCAAGGATTAGAAAGACATTTTGAGAGTCTATGGGCTAGATTTTAAAGTCTTCAGAAGTAAACTGCAGTTTTTGCACTGGTGACTAATTGATTTCCAGTTTTTGAAACACTTCTGCCTTAGCTTTTATGACACTTATCTTCTACGTCTCCTTATTTTCTGACTATGATTATACGTTTTAATTTGCGTTATTTTTAAACTCTGAGAAAGTTCACGTTTGCCTGAGAAGTGGCATGATGGAAACTTAACTTTTCTCCATGCTATATTTCAGTGTGTTTACCAAACCTGTTTGTCTAGAAGCATTGATAAAATTACATAATGATGAGTAGCTTGCTAAATTTGCTTAGCTATATTGACATAACTTCTAAAAGATCTTTTGATTTCAGCATATATGTATATATGTGTGTATAAATATTTTATATATGTAACTTTTTATATTTGCTACTCAGAAATTTCAAGACATTGAAGAAACTCATCTCATTCACATAAAGGAAATTATAGGATCCTTGTCAAATGCTGTAAAGGAAATTCATTTGCAGATAGGCCAGGTAAGTTTTTATTTCTTTTGAACTGATTCTTGAAAATTTTATGTTCATTTATGACTTTTTAAAAACCCAAAACTCATAACATGCTACTGAATTATTTCAGGTAAAAAATATGTATTTACATATATTACATATAAAATAAACTGGATTTTTGATTGGCCTCCAAGGATGATAATTTAAATTAATTTTTAAAATTACGTTCAGTTCTCTTTACATTAAAATTTTGAACTTACCAATTTTTAAATATTTCTTTTTTAAAGTTTTACTCTTTTAAAAAGTAGAACAGCAGCTTCAGTGAGTTACAGAACTTGTACTGAGACATTTTCCAAAAATATCGGTGTTTAATCACAACTTGTGGTGCATTGAAATATAGTAGGGAAAGATGAAGTCTGTTATTTTTTTATTATTAAAGATCTAAAATAGTTTCAATTGCCTGTGTAATTTTCATTTATCATAAAAATTATGTTCTAAAACATTCCAAGAGGGGACATGAAACTGAATTTAGTTCTGAGGTTGTACAGCCATAATTTAAAGGGTTCATGTAAATAGTGGTTGGTACCCACAGATCTACTAACACTGTAAGTTAGGTAATGGAGCATGTTAAATAAATGAAAGTTCTCAAAGGCTCTGGTTCAAAAAATACATATTTTGGTGTAATGAATTTTAATTGCTTTATGGAAGTTTTGTGTGTTATACAGTAAAGGTATTTATGGAAAAAGAAAGAATTTATCTTTATCTCATATTAATAGGTCCATGAAGAATTTATAAATAACATGGCTAACACTACAGTTGAAAGCTTGATACAAAAATTTGCTGAGTCAAAAGGCACTGGGAAAGAAAGACCTGGTAAGATGATAAACTCCACAGTGAAATGTATTCACATTACCCATCCAGCAACTAATGTGTTTGCCTTTAAATTCCCAAACTGCAAAATGGAACTTAGGAGATCTTAGGAGATACCTAAAAATTTGTGTAAAATCTCAGGTATCATTTAATTTGTGTCTGATGATATTGAAGATTTTTGTTTTAACCTTTAGTGATTAATTATTTAGTGTTACTTAAAATGGTTTATAACCTTTACTTAAATGAATATATTGTGGTTTATATTTTTGAAAGTAAATTAGCAACAGAAGGCCATTTTAATAAGTGAAAGAGTAGGAGAGAATATTAAGTGCTTAGAGCATTGAGGGCAATGAAGAACCTTAAAATTTAATACCTTTTTTCTTCCCTTATTCACCTATTATTCAACAAATATATGTATATATTTATAGCATAAAATTTTTATATTTAAAACTAGCCAGCTGGACTCAGTTTAGATGATCCAGATTTTGTTGGCAACATCCAAAGCAGCATAGTTTGGACCCAGTTGAGCATATGCCTTCTTCTCTCCATCAAGCCTGATCAATTGTTGACCTTGGCCATGTCAATGTCATAGAGCTTCTCCACAGCCTGTCTGATCTGGTGCTTGTTGGCCTTGACATCCACAATGAACAAAAGCGAATTGTTGTTCTCTGCCTTCTTCATGGCTGCCTGTGTAGTCAGGGGGCTTGATGATAGTGTAGTCAAGCTTGTTTTTCCTGGGGGCACTCTTAATGAGAATATTTAGGCTGCTTTAGGAACAGCAGTGTCTAGGCCTCCAGAAGGTGAGTGCTTATGGACCTTCTGCCTGGGGCTGTGGATGCCTTAATTTAGCACTGCTTTCTTTGCCTTGGCTTCAGCTTTGGGGGGCCAGGGGCTTCGTTCTATGCTTTGGGCACCATTTTCATGACAAGGTATTCAATAAATGTACTAATTGAGAACTAACTATTTCCAACACTGTTTTAGACATTAGGGATACACCAGTGAATAAATACATACAAGAATCCTCGTTCCTATTTTTTGAACAAATGTTTACTGGTATTCTGAATCTTATTTTAATAAGCATTTATGATATGTCAGTTGTAATAAGTAACTCATTCCCTTCCCCTGCTTATCATACTTACAGTATTCCAGATTTCTTCAGTCTATTCATTAGTTACTCTACCATGTTCTTGCAAGATAATTTGTTTCACAGGTAAAAACAGTTCAGACCAGTAAAGAAGTTACAGTATGGTTTGGAATTCAGGATAGTAGATAAGTGATTTGTGGAGAAGTCCAGGAACCATTTTTCTTCAGTGCAGTTTACAAAACTAAGGCTTGAAACCTAAATCATCTTGACTTTCTTCTTCCCACATTTCATTAAGTTTTCAGATCATAGTAATTCAATTGTGTTAGTAGTTTTTTCCTTCAGACCTTTCCATGCTCCCTCTACCAATCTGATTAATTGCAACCACAGGTTTCTGAGTACTAGCACAAAAATCCATTTTACATGTTATAGCACATTCATGTTTTGACTATATGATTATGAACTCATAATTGTAATACTCATAAATCTTTGACTTTTCATTGTAGACATAATGAAATTTAGTCTTTGGACTTGGAGTCAAAGCCTTTCAGGATCAGGCCTTGACTAGTCTTTAGTTTTTTTTTCCATTGTTCCTTTTACAGATACCTTTCAGTGCAGTCAGCCTGAATTGTTTGCTATTTCCTATATAAGCCCCTCCTTTTCTCGTGGTACTTTAGTTGCCCTCATGTCCTTACTCTAGAAAATGTTACATGCCACACCTTTCCTACCCCATGTCTTCCCATTTATTTGTCTAATGAATAAATTCTTTAAAAGAGTCAGGTCATATGTTATTTTTGCCATCAAAAGTGCCAGAGAACTTTAACAGTACTTTTTTTTTTGGCATTGTTGCTGTCTACCTTAAATTTTAATAATTGTGTACCTGTGAAGAAAAGTTATATGTTTGGTTCATCTGTTTATGTGTAAACAGTACATTTTTGTTAAATGAATGAACAAATGGTCATATAATGGTAAGGTTAGCATATTAAGGGGGTTGGAATGGATGGACTTGCTCTTTGAAAAGTCTTAGTGAGGAAATAGTAGATTATGGTTAAAATTTAGTGAGCACTTCACTCTGTGCCATGTACTGTGCTCATCACTTTGCAGGCAAACTTTGATCCTCAACAACTCTTTGAAGGTAGATACTGTTATTCCTATTTTCCAGATGAGGGAGATGTTGAGAGGTTAAATGATTTGCCTAAACTACAACATGGCAGAGCTGAGATTATGCTAGGATTCTCGACTCCAAGGCTCATGATTTGGAGCAATTAGAATAGAACTAAGTAAGTTTACATATAGAGTGAGAATAGGCTGTTGAGATACATGACTACAAAACAGTGAGAAACCCTAAAATTCCTTTAAAAGAGATTAAATTAGAAGTGAAGACCAGTTAAGAGAGAGAAAAACAATTTGGAAACAAACTGAATTTTATATAAAGCATTTAGAAGTGTTCATAAATAAAAGCAAAGATGTATTGCCAGGTTAAAAATGCCTTAGAAATCTGAACAAGATTGGTAGACTATCAGTGTCTTGTGTGTGACATTATATTGTAGTCTCGTAAAATGCTATAGGAAACCAGGCAAAGTATATGAGGGATCTCCATGTATTCTTTTAAACAGCTCTGTGAATCTACAATTACTTTAATTAAAATTCCAACTTTCTTGTTTGTGGCACAGCACTTAGCCTTATAGTTTGTAGTCCACTCTTTACTAGCATTGAGACCTTTAAACCCTAATGCCTTCATCTGTAAAGTGGGAGTAATAATAATGCCGACTTCAGTGAATCATGATGTTTGCATGGATAATTTTACACTTATTGAGTACTTAATAAATGTTATTTTCAAAAAGTAATATAGTCTTGATTAATAGGTAGCTAATGATGGATATTGTTTCTTTATGCATTTAAATATACTGGCCTCAGGATATACTAACACATGTAGAAAATTTATATAGCTAAATGGTGAGGGGGAATCCAAGAATGGTGATGACATGGGCTTTCCTAGAATTACCACAGCCAGAATTTCTTGTCTGTTGACAAGAAAATATGTCTGTTGACATTGTTACTTTCACAAAAAGTGGTCCTAGAACTAACGTAAAAAAAAGAGGGGGGTTGTGGGGTTGAGTGAAAGGATAAATATTACTTTTCTAATTGACTTACTGTGGGTGACTAGTTATAGCTCTTTCATATAAGTCTGTCCAAAAGAAATCCAGCCATTGTTAAAATAACGAGAATGGTTTGCGCAGCATTGACATAACCCGGCAGCCAAGGAAGGTGGGCTGGAATGTGCATGGATGAACAATAATGACTTCACTGTAATAGTCAGTGGGGGTGGTAGCTGCCGTTGAGGGGGCTTGTGTACTGTGTGGCCATCGCATTCAGAATGACTAATAAGCAAGTAGAGCAACTGATCTGCATCAAATTTTTCATTAAGCTTGAACATTTCCTCCACGGAAACTATTCACATGATTCAGAAGGCTTTTGGGGATGATGTGGTGAGTGTGGCACAAGTAACAATGTGGCACAAATGCTTCAAATATGGTCAAGAATCTGTTGAAAGTGCTCCACAGTCTTGAAGGTCTGCAGCAAACAGAACACCTGAGAATGTTGAACACGTACAGACTGCAGTCAGAAAAGATTGGTGACTGACAGTGCAAGAACTAGAAACCATTCTGGTGATTCCAAAACCTACTGTGTCCGAGATTTTGATGCAGGATCTTGGCATGAAATGTGTTTGGGGCAAAATTTGTTCTGCAGCTTCTGCTGCCAGAGCACAAGGAACGTTGTGCTGCAGTTGCTAATGACTTGATTCAGACCACTACCAGTGAATCCGAAGTAGGTCCCCAGGTGCCTACTTTGGAGGGGATTGAGGTGTCATTGTCTACGTTCAATGTTTCTTGTATCTTCAATCAGTGTCTCTATTTTTCATAGTACATGGCTGACCTCAGTATATTTGTTCAGCTTATGGACACATGAACAGATGAGTCTTGTAGCACAATACAATGATGAAAATTTTGTTTCTCAGAAAAATAATGGTCAAAATTTTACATGCGAGTGTGTGGAGCTTATAGACTTAAAGGATTTTGCTTTGTAAGATGTATTCTAATCTTCAATTTATATACTATTGCTTGATGTTAACATTTTATTTCTCCAGTTTTGTAAGGGCCCCCTCTGGTGGATGAATTCCTTCCTAAATTAGTTTTAGTCTTATGGAATACACATTTTAAAAAGAGGCCCAGTTCTTTGAAAACTTTATAAACCTAAAAGTTAACTTGTTTCTCTTGTGCTGAAAAATGACTACTTTTTTTAGTTACCTGTTGAAAGATATAACCTCTTAATTTTGTCTCTACTTATCTTGTGTCAATCAAATACTTTGAGAGCATTAAACTTTTTTCCTATTCATTGAGACTTTTATACTACTTATGATATACAGTAACATTTTTGTCATTACTTTTTATTGAGATATAATTGAAATATAATATTGTACTAGTTTATAATGATTTGATATATGTACATATTGTGAAATGAATGCCAAAATAAGTTTAGTTAGTATCTATCCCCACAGTTTTTTTTTTAGTGATAAGAACTTTTAAGAACTTTCTTAGCTTTCAAATATACAGTACAATATTGTTAAGTTTAGTCACCATGCTGTGTATCTCCAGGACTTTTTAACCTTATAACTAGAAGTTTCTGCCTTATGACCACCTTTACCTATTTTGCTTACTCCTCCTCTGTCAACGACCAGCCTGTTCTCTCTATCTATGAGGTTTGTGTTTGGGTTTTTTTTTTAGATTCCACATATAATTAATGCCCTCAGGTTCCATCCACATTGTCATAAGTGGCAGAGTTTCCTTCTTTATTATGGCTGAATAATATTCCATCATATAAATAGGCACACTGCATTTTCTTTATTCATTCATCTGTCGGT